ACAGACAGTACCTCATCAGCAATGTCCTAAACAGTGACAATCTTCCTTCTTCATGCCCCCCCCCCCTCCTCTCCCCCTTTCTCTTTTTCTCACTTAAAACTTGATACAAGCTCCAGCTAGATGGACCTACGGCACGAGCAAACAAATCCTCTTTTTATGCCGAATATTCTTTCACGTCATGGAGTAACAGGTGGCTAAATCTCACAAAATTTGAATGAGCCCTGCAATAAATGAAAATTTGGATTATATACATATCCTTAAATTTCACGCTTCCCGTAATTCACCCATATATTGCTTATAACAAATTTTATAAAAGTTTTAGTTCTACTTTAAAATTTGGTAATTTCAAGCAAACTGGGCTTCAACCTGGCCCAAATTTTGCGCTTCTTTAGCCAACCGATTGCGGTTATTTGCCAAAGAAGCGTAAAATTTAAGATAATTTCTTTTCTGCGTTTTAATGCATTTTAAGAAACAATTCTAGCTCATTCGAACAAAACAAAAAATAGCTTTTACCCTCCCCTACACTGCTTTCTTTCGTCATCTGCGCTCAACACGATCTTTCTCTTCCTAAGATACGTTAAACGCGTCATCAGTTCTTCATAAGCATCATTTATAAGCATTTATAATTGAACAGTACAAACAGATATGTCAGTACTTACCACCAGTTAATGTTGTACTGCTACTTCTGCTTCCGTTTCCACCAATATTGTTTGCGCTGTATCCATTGATGTTTGCGCTGCTTGCGTGGTTTTGCTCTCGCATCTCTTCATCCAGTCCAAAAATGCTATTACTACTGCCCGAATATACGAAATTGGGATTGATAAATACTGAAATATTGATAAATGCTGCAACAGTAACAACTAACGCATAACAAAAATTCGTCAACTAATGCCAATTAACACACTGTTTGGCATTTTTTTCACTAAGCTTAGGTGGTACGAACCAATGCGAGCCTAACAAGCAATCAGTAATGAAAGTCAATTAATCACGCACAACATATTACAGCCGAAACATCGGGTAAAATCACCCTTAAGGTACTTCTAATAGTCGCAACTTTTTTAGTAACAAGAATACCTTGAAACAACTTTAAGCCTTCCCATATGCTTTTTAATCTGTCGAAAAAATCACTGACTTAGTAATTTTTTTTTAAAAGAAGAAACGAAAGTTAGGATCGCCCGTAGGCTGACTAACAGGTAATGCACCATTGCTCTTAAAATAATTTGATAAAGTTACCCGTTACGAAAATGAAAAACCATACTATAAACTGTAACTGATCCCATCATTCTCCGTGTTGGTGAAGCCTCATAGAACACTGTCTATAGGAACTAAGCAGATTCTGTGCTTTTTTTCCTGGGAACGGGCATGCTTGATATTACTCGAGTAACTACAACAACCTACTTATCACCATCTACAACATTCTTAACAATCTTACGTTACGCTAGGACTATAACAATCCAATTACCCAAAGCAGCTTTGCAGGAATTAGGAATAAAGAACAGAAGCAATAATAATTTTGATGTTACTCACTTGGTTCCCAGACCGGTTCTCGTATACGGTCACGCAAACATATCCAAACTTCATCATTTGGATGAAGACGCGGTTCAAAAAGTTCCGTGAAATCACGCGGTTCTATGCCGCCACCATCACCAGTCGCTTCATCGCCACCAGTCTCCTAAAATATGGCGATCTAAAAAATACATGCAATTCTAAAAATCACACCAAAAATTTATAGAGAGGGAAATACCCTCATTTTTGCTCAGGCTTCATTCAGTATTTACATGCAGCATCAAGCTGCTAGCGCTAGCAAGCTGTTTTAATCGTTCTTCTTCTGAAGATACCTTGAATACCTTGAACAGCTGTTGTTTCATCGATCTCTGGTGTCACGCCATCGATGCAGCT